ACCTTCTTCATCGTCAACTTCTCTATCATCATCTTCTATTTCTTCATTCACGGATTCTTTTCTTGAAATGATTAATCAAAAATTATTATTCGATGAATCAAAATTAAATTCTTTACCATCTTATCGAAGCATAGCTTCTTCTATACCTGCTCCTCTTGGAGATTCATCATTACCTCCTATTTATAATGATGTTATATGAAATTTTTTTAACTTTGTGGCATATGAAATTTCCCTAACTTTATTTTTATATCAAATTTCTTACTTTATACTTCAAATTCTCACTTTATGCAAAAAAAAAAAAATTTAGATATGTATATAGATTTATATAGATTTTTAACAATTTACAAATATAAGATTTATAAAAAAAAATTTTTTTAAATTAATTATTCATAATTCAAAAGTTTTTAATTATAGAATATAGATTTTCAATTAATCCTCTAGTTTTTATAATTAAAAGTTTCTCTTCATTTTTTATTATCATTATTTTAAAAAAAAACTAATTAATAGTAATATAATAAATTTCTTTGTACATACTATTTTATTTTGCATATTTTTTATAAAAGAAATAAAATTAAAAATTGAAATGTTTCAAAATTTTAAGACTGTAACGCATAATATCACTTGATATACTGGATATAGCACATCAATAAATAAAAATTGTTATTTTTAAATTATAATTTTGGCCAAAATTTTCGTCATTCTGGTCAATTTATAATGCCGGCCTAAATTTGACACAATTTCAAAAAATATACGTAATGATTAATTGCTGATTTGCACGTGATGGAAAGAATTTAATGGCCATCATTTTGTTAGTGAAAAGATGTACAATTTTGCTTTTTACAAGAGTTTATCTAAATAAGCATCATAAAATATTAAGTTAGAGGTTTCATATTCAGGTTGTTATTTAGACATGTAAGTATATTTTCTTTTTATAGAACCTGAAGTTCAAAGTTGTAATATTTTTAACAATGACAAAATTGCATATATTTCTCAATAATTTAATTGGAAAACTTACTAAACAATATTAAAAAATATTTATATTTATTAATATATTTAAGATAGCTATCAATTTGGAACTCACGATTTTTTTTCGTAACCTCATCGATTTTATTTTTTACTCCCCAATATATTTTATGAAGCTAAAATTTTAATAAAAGAATTAAGAAATGTTCAAACTAATTTTTATAAAATTAATAGTAACAAAAATATTAATTTCCTGATTTTGGTTATAAGTTTGATGAGAACTGCATTTGTGAAAATTTTGAAAGCTGGATCTTTAATATAAGAGAATAATCTGTAAAATAAGTGTTTCCTAGAGTATAATAATTAAAGGATAAATAAACCTCTTATTTCAAATTTGAAATATAGTTAATATGTAAGCTTAAAGGATTTACAAGTGATGTGCTGATTGACGATGTTTACAAAATATTTACAATTGTTTCAAAACCAAAACCATCTTTGGTTTCTTATTATTAATTATAAAAAATAATTATGCTTCGCATCATCAAAAAACCAGTTTAATTAATAGAACAATTTTCTAGAAAAAAAAACAACCGTAAAAATACCAAGAATTTCCCAATATTTTTACCAAATTTAAAATCCAAAAAAAAGAAAAAGAAAAAGGATAAATAAGAGATAAATAAAGCATATGATAACAAACAAACGACTTCTATTATTATTGTCATTTTTTTTACTCCTTTTTTTTTTTCGCCACAAAAATAGATATGCACAAGACAAAAGTAATATATACTATTATTAATTTAATTTAATAGAAACATTCAAACGCCAAGCTATTTACAAATGGTTTCTGAAACTTTTTTCTTTTTTGCGTTGGGTGGCGTATTATGCTTTACACAATGTAACATTCATTCCCTGTTTACTTAAATCATTGTAATCATTGTGTATGATATTAAATAGTGTGTGATTCCTAGACTTGCATATTCGTATTGGCTTTACATCATTACTTGTTCATATATAGTCGTGGTGAACATTTTTTAGCCACAATTGTAAAAATAATAAATAATAAACAAAAAATTTAACCGAAATTCACTTCTCAACTTATTATATTTATTTTTCTATATTAAAACATATTGTTGCAGAGATCTATCTATATTTAGTAAATATAATGAACAATATTATTATAGTTATTATATTTATTTTTCTATAATTTTATTCAATTATTTATTTATTTATTTGAAAAAAAAAAAAATACATTAAAACATATATTTAGTAAATATCATGAACAATAGTATAAACATATATTTAGTAAATATCATGAACAATAGTATTATAGTTATTATTTTTATTTATTAGTGGAAGAAATTTCAATTTATATATCTCATATATATTCTCAAGAATGTTGATTCGTGATCCGACTTGGACATGAAGTAATTATGACAGTTAAACTCGCTGTAACTTCATAATAATCTTTATCTTCATTTTGGAATGTTACATCAAATCTTACTTTATGTTCGATACGAATTTGGTTATTTTCAGAATCTGCTAAACACCGAGACTTTTGGATTGACATTTCTTCAATCGTTTCTATTAATTTTCCGGGAAGGGCTAATTCAAAATTCCAGCAATGATTACCCGGCTGAAGATATGATATTTCTCTTGCGCAACAAGGAAAACCCATATAATATTCTCTTTCACTGGTTTTTGTAATATTACCTAAGTAAAAGGTAAAAAAAAAATATATACAGTATATGATTGAGCACTATGAGTAATGAATAGCGTAAGAAATACACAAATTAAAATATTCAACATTTACTACCATCCCACGCAGTTTTGATTTCCCTGAAATGTCAATTTAATTTCTTTGGTTTTGATAGTTTCTGTTGTTCTAATCTAATTTGAAATAAAAGTGTCATTATATGTAATTTACTTTACAAAATGAATCTTTGATGATTTAGCTCTGTTCCTAATGCATAAAAAAAAAAAAAATTATATTTAGAGTATTCTATGAAAGAAAAAAATTTCTCAATTAGTGATAGATGTGTTATTATTAAAATTCTTGTAATTCTGATGTGGTTACCTTTTTTGAACTAATTTATGCAATAGCATTAATGAAGTTTTTATATTTGTAATCTTTTTTAAATATCTTTCATTTAACAATGAAAAAACTAAGACAGATAAGGCTGATTTTTTGAAAATAATGTGCAAAATGACACAAGCTTAGTCAACTTGATCAGATGTTGCCAATTATGGAAATTATTAAAATGTTTATTTGGTTACTTATTGTTAATCCACTGAGCTTCAAGGTGGCTTTCCAAAATTTAAATTTAGATTACTAAGGAAGTTTATTAATAGTAGAATTTATAATGCAATTTTAAATGTCTTTGCCTGAAGATTTCGGTAAAGCTGAGTTAGGCAGAGAAGACGACTTGGAACTTGACCGATTGCATGCTATAGGTATTACTTATTCCACCTTAAAACGCGTAATTTTAAAAATATTTAATTGCATAATATATCTCTGAAAATAAAAAGACAAAAAACCATTGTCGCAATGACTAATTCCAGATACTCTTTTAAACTCAAATTATTACAAAAAAAAAAGGTTTATCGCATATATTAATTATGGCGATTCTTTGATTTTCTTTGTGACAACACTATTATAACTCAAAATTCAACAAAGAAATTTTAGAATCTGATATTTATCTCAACTGACAATTGTGAAAAAATTAATTAAAGTGATACTTCATAGTGTCGTGTAAATGATTTCTCATAAAAATGTAGTTTGGTGTGTGTCGTAATTAATGTCATGTAAATTGTGTAACTTTATTTGTTATATTTATAAAGTCGGAATAATTGTTATTAGAAAGTATTGTATCAATATATGACTATTGGCATATGTTGCTGTTGTTGTTTTTGGCGAATGTTGTGTGAGGGTGCAGAAGGATGGGTTGTAATGTGATGTTTATTTTTACAACGTTGATAAACAATTATGTAACCAGATTAAGTTCATATAAAATTCTATAAATAAATTGGTATTTTTCTTATTTAATAATTTATATTATTCTAGTTTATAATTTTGCATATAAACAGGTTGAAATTTTATCATCTTTTCGAGAAAATTCTCAGAGTCCAATCTTTATTTAAGAAATATTTCGAAAACAAAATTTATATCACATCTAATACTTTTTTTAAATATTATTTCAAATACTTCAAAAATGGTTCATTTAACTATCAACCCTTCACCTTTATTT